TTGATCTGTCTTCGCTTTGAAGACCCATTTGCTTCCAAGCAGTTTCATTCCTGGAACTACTGGAACTAGCTCCCATGTTTTGTTCCTTTCTAAGGAATCAAGCTCAGCCTTCATGGCATTTAACCATGGCTCAGCTTCCTTTGAATCCAAACCCTGGATTTCTTGGAAACTTGAAGGTTCAAATACCTTCTTGGAGCTTTTAACAGCTGTTACTGCTATCGTAGCAAACTCATCAGCAAATCTCTTTGGAGGTTTGCCTTTTGTGGCTCTCTGTGACCTACGAATTAGCCTTAAGTCTTCAACACTCTCCTCTTCCTTCTTAGGAGAAAAACGACCTATTGTGAACAATGGTTCCTCCAATTCTTGATCAGAGCTTTCAGAGGGTCGCATAGAGGCTTTCGCACTCTTGAAATCCTCTGAATCACCCGATTCAGTTTCAGATTCAGAACCTTCATCAGAGGGTGTGGGCTGTTGTGGTTGCTTTTGACTATCCTCAGTCTCATCACCGTCATCAGGATAACATTGGAAAATTCCCACATTCTCCCCCCACTTTGCATTGTACTCAACACTTCTCGTGAGCTTAATTGTCTTTGAGTCAGTCATCATTACTCTGTAAGACCCTTTCTGATAACCTAGAAAGATACCATGCAATCCACGCTTGTCTAACTTGGAGTTTTGTGGTGAGCGAACCCACATGTCAGAACCAAAAATCTTCATGTGTTTGATGTATGGCTTCTTGCCAAACATCTTCTCATAGAGGTACAACCAATCGCTGAAGATAACCTGCGATTGTAACTGTAAACAAAACACGAGAGAGATTCGGCCCAATAACTCTCTGGAAGATTGGCATCATGCAGCAAGGTTTTTAAGCCTTGAAGCAAAGTCTGATTTGCCCGTTCCGCAAGTCCATTCTGCCATGGCGAGCGAGGACTAGACAAATCGTGTTGAATTCCTTTCTCAGTCAGAAAAGCTTCAAACTGCTGAGAAGTGAATTCCCCAGCGATCACTGAAAAGAGTCTTTATCTTCTTACCATGCACATTTTCCAACCAAGCACAGAATTCCTTGAACCTAGGAAAAGCCTCCGATTTCTGCCTGAGATTGTACACAAAAATATATCTAGAAAATGCATCAATGAGAACCATGAAGTATCTATTTCCACCCAAAGAGGGCGCTAGTGGTCCAACCAAATCAGCATGAACAACCTGGTATGGTTCTGTAGCTTTCCTACTAGACACCTTACCTTTGCAGCCATTTTCACTTTGTTTGCTGCGCATGCTTTGCACTTCATGTGGTACTTGCAGGGTTTAATAGTCATACCTTCAACCAAGGCAGGCATTTTAGATACTGCCTCGAAATGCAAATGACCAAATTTTCGATGAAAATCGTGAATACATTCTGCATGCAAACTTTTGTTAGAACCTGCAATGCAACAAGTGTCATCCTGCACCACATCATCATAATACAAAACAAACAAACGATCAACATATTCTGCATGCAATACATAATCATTTTTCTTTGTGATGATGCACTTCTTGTTCTTGAAGGAAACGTCAATGTTCCGCTCATTCAGCTGTTCAACGCTGAGCAGATTATGTTTGGCGTCTGGCACGTAAAGCACATTCTGTATCGATAAGTCCAAACTGTGAAGAACAACAGTTCCGTAGCCTTTACTGGGAATAGTGTGGTCATCCGCCTGGTGAATCGCACCTTCCTGCGGTGTAAAAGACACAAACAGTTTCTTATCGTTGCACATGTGGTGGGTGGCCGCTGAATCAACAACGAAGAAAGATCTAGACGTCTTCTGGACCTCTGCAACCTTTGGAGTGAAGCGTGAAACCATAGCCTTGTGCTGCGTTGTCCTAGACACCGGACCTTTGCCTTTGCCTCGGCCTTTTCCGCGCGATGAGCTTTCGCTGCGCTGCTCTGTCTTGGCCCTGGGATGTCTGCATTCCCTCTTCATATGGCCTAGACGTCCACACGAGTAGCATTTCACTGCCTTCAAAGCTTTGGCGCCATCTGGTGGTTCCACTGCACTATGGGATGACGTCTGTGAAGACTCCCTTGCCCATGCAGCTAGCACCCCGGCGATCTGCTTCATTTAAAATCACGGCAGTAACAAAGTCCACTGTCAGCTGAGCAGTTGGTTGCACAGCAATCTGGGTTGCAACAGACTCCCAACCTGAACCCAAAGATTGTAGTATCATGAAAGAATACACAGCCTCTGGAAAGTTGAGTCCTCTCTGTTGCAGCTCATGTCTCAGATTTTGCATCTGCATCAGATGTAAACGCACATCTCCACCTTCAGCAAGAGCCATATTATGCAGCTTGTTAAAGTAAAACATAGTGGATCCAGCTTCTGTCCTTAAATGAGCCTCTCTCAGAGCGTCCCAAACTTCTCTGGCTGAGGTCTTATCACGCAATAGACAGAGCTCTTCTGGGGATACTATCAATGTAAGAGTTCCCCTTGCTTTGGAATCCTTAGCTTTCCATGCATCTGTAACTGGAACTGGGGGGGTTCCTGTAATCACCTCAAACAAACCCTCTTTCCGCAGAATTGCCTCTGCATACTGAACCCAGTCGCTGTAATTTTTCTTGTTGAGCTTAGGAATCCCACAAGCATCCTGAAGGGCCATCATGACTCTGGCATTAGCCTTCAGCGTCATATGCTGCTTTAAATCTTGCTGCGTCACTGCTGCAGCTGCCTTATTACAAAGGCGCACTTAAAAGTTACTTTCGATTTCCCCAGCATAGTGACTTGTGCCTGGGAGCCTTTTGCCTATTCCCGGCAAAACCGGCTTTAAAAGTTCAAAGTCCAGCCATAAAGCCATTAACTTGAAGCTGGCAGGCTGCCCGGAGCAGTAGCACATACCTCATCAATCACTTCTACGCGCAGAGCAGATTCCTTTCCGATCTGTCCCTCTGCATTCCGATCCTTTGCCGGCACTCCGATTCGACCTCTGGAGCCCATAACCACGTGTTGATTTAAGCAGAGTCTCGTGGCCAGCGGAAGGATGAGGATTACGTGCTGCATACTCTATATTGCTTTATTTACAGTTCAAAGCTGGTATATTACAGAAAGACATCTTGCCTCTGCCGGAGCAGAAAAATGCATCCTCTCTCCTCAACAGCTCGGAGAGAATCACACAGTGAAAAACAGGAAACCAGTGTACGTCACATCCAGTCTCCCTTTCCCGTGAGAAACTCCAACAGTACAGACTGTGGAATGTAAACACCTGTCTCGTGACAAGCAGAGCTGCACAGTGAACGAAAGCAGAAACCAACAGAAACAGGCTGAACACAGTTTTATTTCTGCAAGCTTACCCAGGCATATAATTTAATTATCTATATTTAGAGTTTGGTGATTAAGAAGACTGTATATCTTTCTAAATAAAGACTTTTGGACCTCAGATTAGTATTTTATTAGGTCCAGTCTACAACAGTGCCTCATCACTACAGAACACTTAATCAGTACACCCTTTAGCCCAGCCAATAGCACCCATCCATGGTGTGGGGTATCCTGGTTTGCTGCTCCCCAATCGGAACTTTTGAGCAGCTCCTCTTAGCTACAGGAAGCAGGAAGCCCATGTAATTTCTGGACCACCACCCTGGAATTTGCGGTGGCTGGGGACTTGCTTGTACAGCAAGACAATGTTGTGGATTCGATCCCAAAATTTACATAAAGAGTTGACTTTAAAGGGGACTTTTCTTCTATAGAAATACTACCTAGTGAAGACTGTGCACAAAACAATAGCAGGGAAAGCAAGATGTGCATGGATTTCATAGGAAATAACCATGAGCAGGAGTAAAGTGGCTTTTACATTCTGATGGCGTTTAGCTCAGGAAGTCACTTTTGTTCAAGATAATTTTGTAGTGGAATTAAGTTTCATGGTTTTGGCAAATGTTTATAGATTTGGGACACATGTCTTGCACATAAATGGGGAAGGGACTTTAAAATCAAACTTTGGGGACAGGTACTTTATCTCTTATCTTAACAATACCTTTCAGTATATTCAGTATATTCTGGTTTCTTCTAATTCTTAAGAACATTTGTTCTTTAGCCTTAGTACCATTTTCAGGTAAATACTTCAGTGTGCATATAACTTTGCATAGTCTTTGATGTGATTTTTATTTTTTTTTTGTTTCAGTAATTTTCCAACATCTAGAGGCAAGGATAATTGATTGCAATCAGTTAATTAAAATTGACTATAGATATTTAATTAGGAGCCAAAATAAGATAGCATTATTTATGATGCTGTGATAAAACTTGTAAGATTTCTACACCAGAGAGAACTGCCCTGGTGTGATCTATAATTGTATGATGGTTCATCTATGACTGAAAGCTTGTATTGCTGATAGTGCTCATACACTACATTTTTCAGGTCATGACTTCTAGAAAAATGATTTTGTTAACATCTGTGCAATGAAGTGCCTCACATTCACTGTGATTGGGAATGCTAGGAAATGCATTGTTCTTGCAAAGTACTTTGATTTAATTTTAATTTTTTTGCTGGTTTCTTTTTTATAATTGAAATTCAGCAGCAGTTCTCAACCATTTTTCATGGACCACATGATCATTGCTGGAGATCCCAGGAGATCTCTTTATAAACTTCTTGTTATTCAGTGCCATCATTACCATCATTACCATCATCAAAACAATGAAAATCATGGTCCCTAGGCTAGTTGTGATCTGCACCTCCCAAAAGAATTCACCTTTCCAATTTTTGCAGTAGAATTCTTGACTGAAAAAAATGTACTGGTGTGTTAAAATGCATATTTTAAAATGTATGTCAGCAATACATTTGGAAATACATACATTTAGATAAAAGATATATTTTAATACAATTTTGTGAGGGGTTTTTTTTTAAGGTTGCAGATTAATGTGGAAATGGGGTAGAATGGCTTTATGAAAAACACATGTAAAATAGAACCACAGGATTGTAGAGCTGGAAGAGACCATGAGGGTCATTTAGTCCATATTCCTGTAATGCAGGAATATTTTTGCTCAACATGGGGCTTAAACCCACAACCCTGAGATTGAGTCTCATGCTCTATCAATTGAGCTATTTTGATTGATCCATAAATCCCAGCCTAGGCCAGTTGTTAGCCTGTTCGACATATCTGGTCCTAATCAAAACACATCTGTCTCCATTGTCAGAGCCAAGTACAGATATTCTCAGCTGTTCCCCAGTCTATCTTCTTCCTGAATGAAGCCCACAGACCATAGTTTGAGAACCTCTACAATAGACAGTTCTAATTCAGGAGCAATATTATTGACTTTTATCTGTGTAGCTTGTTAGCACAGACTTCAAGCTGATTCATGTTTACCTATCTATTGCTGCCTCAGTTTATTCAGTCCTTATAAGTTCAGCCACACAGATCAGCACAAAAGTATATGTAGAAGACTTCCCATCTATAATGTATGTAATGAACCAACACTGTTAACTCTTGAAATGCTTAGCCTTTTGTTCATTCCCCATACCTGAAATTTCTTTACTGGATGCAGCTAAAGGGGTAAAGCTTTGCCAGCAATCTCTCTTCCCTCTCACCCCCTAGTTATGTGTGCCAATAATCTGAGTGCATAGTAAAACCAGCAGCATTACTCTTCCAGTCTGCTGAGTCAAGCGGTCTGCCTCATATCAATTACTTAATTTTATTTATAGCTAAAATATGTATCTTGCATAATACTGCACAAAACATAAGTGATGTTTTTATGTGATTTTGTTTTAGAGTACAATGCCAGTTAATAATAACCAGAGCTTTGCTTGCTTTGTCTGCTACAAAATCAATGGGAATGCAGACCTGTATTAGGAAACGCTGGTGAGGAGGGGCCTTTAGGGGATGGAGAATCATTGCCGAACAGCCACAACATAAACGAGGGTAACCTAGCATGTTGATTACCGTATTTTTCGCCCTATAGGACGCACCTTTTCCCCTCCAAAAATGAAGGGCGAATGCAGGCTTTCGCTGAAGCCTGGAGAGCGAGAGGGGTCGGTGCGCACCGACCCCTCTCACTCTCCAGGCTTCAGGAAGCTCTGCGCAACCCTCGGGAGACCGGCTCTGAGGGTTGCACAGAGCTGCCTGCAGTCCCGGGCTCAGCGCAGCTCAGCGCGGCCATCGGGAGCGGGGCGCAAAGTCCCACCCGGCTCCCGATGGCTGCGCAGAGCTGCCTGCAGTCCTGGGCTCAGCGCACTTCTTCCCATCGCCAGCCCCACAAGCTCGGGGGACAGCGGGGAGGCGGAGCGCGCCTTCCCGCTGTTCCCCGACCTGGTTCTTCCAGCCCCGCACCTGGGGGGAAATAATTTTTTTCCCCTTTATTTCCCCCCCAAAAAACTAGGTGCGTCCTATGGGCCGGTGCGTCCTATGGGGCGCAAAATACGGTACATTGAATACAATTCTTCTTCTTCTTCTTCATAATAATAATAATAAACGCCTAGTGTTTTCTCATAATTTCTATCAAATACTGCCTTCATGTTTTTCCCTATACAGTGGTACCTCGGTTTAAGAACAGCCCTGTTTACGAACTATTCAGTATATGAACCCCGCAAAACTGGAAGTAGTGTCCCGGTTTGAGAACTCTACCTCGGTCTAAGAACGGAATTCAAACGGTGGAGGGGCACTGGCAGCAGGAGGCCTCATTAGGGAAAGCACACCTCGGTTTAAGAATGGTTTTGGTTTAAGAACGGACTTCCGGAACAGATTAAGTTCGTAAACCAAGGTACCACTGTATCAAAGTGAGAGAGACTTGCATTGCAGTCTTATTCATGCCTACTCAGAAGTAAACCCCATTGAGTTCAGTGGGACTTACTCGCAGGCAGAAGTGGATCACCTTGTGGGTGGAGCCACTGCTGCTTACTGGGAGGCAGAGGGGAAAGGAATGGGAATATCAGCAGGGTTCAGGCTCTCCCACTGGTGCACTTCCACTATGCTGACCTCCCTGCTGCCGCCCCGCACTTACAAGTGGTGTGTGGCAGTGATCCCAATGCTGGCAAGCCAGCATTGTTGCCCTGCCCCATCAGGCAAGCCACCTCTGCTCCCAGGTGCATGCATATAGGATTTCAATCTTACTTTATTTAAACAAAAGTTGAGTATTGAGAGAGGAACCCTACATGCCTTCTTTTGGCTGCAGGCTACAGCCCTTGGAGAATACAACAGACCTAGTCAAATATGTAGTATCAACAGAACATGAAGATAAAGCAATATCTTTGTTTTAGTTGTGAAAAAGGTAATCTTATGGTTCCTGTTTTCATATAGAGTAGACTTGCAATCTGGGTTTATCTTAATGTATTTTGCTTCCCAGATACTCTTGAGTATTTGCCGCTTGACATTTTATTGCTGAACTTGTCCTGCTGTTAAAGAAGCAATATTTAGTTTATATGCCACATACCTGGAAATGAGAAGCATAGACCTTTGCATGAAATGCCGTATTTTGCCATAAGCACTTCTTCACGTCAAAATATATTCCTCAGTCTTATTAGGGGCTAAAAGATCAGGATTGAAGGGGTGAATCCTAGTTTTATTGTAATCTCTTGAAAGTAATAAATGGCTTTCTAAATTGTGACCAAAGAAATATTGGTGGCATTAAAGTATTATGTATGATTCACTTCCCCTCATATAGACATTTGAGAAGAAAATCTGGCTGATTTCAAACACTTCTAAATAGAACTAATTCACAGGCAAGCTACTATATTCAGAAACCCTTTATAAATGGTCAAATTCAGCCCACAATAACTTTTATTTGAATTTATATAAATGATCTGAACATACATATATTTGGGTCTTCCCCAATTTAATTGTATAAAAATTCCATAAATATAGATATATACAGTAGAACCTCCATTCCAGAAATCCATTCGATTTCCGAAATGTTCAAAAACCGAGGGTCAAAGGGCTGCCAGCAAGTTCAGTGGGGAAAATTGAGAAACACACCTCGGAAGCATTCACTTCTGGGTTTTCAGCGTTCGGCTTCCGAATCGTTTGGCAGCCAAGACGTTCAAAAACCAAGGTTTGGCTGTATAGATAAATAAAAATTCCATGCGCACGGCTTGGAAGCTTTGCAAGCATGTATGCTTGGAGGTCCCTTCCAGAATACTCAAGTAGTGTCACCTTCCTCTGTTCCTTTAAAGCCCACCTCTTCCAGGGGGGCTTGAGTTTGGTGTAACCACACAATTCTCCAACCTTACTGAAATAACACCTAAATGCATGCGAAGGTGGTTGTTGTTGTTGTTGTTGTTGTTGTTGTATTTGTACTCCATCCATCTGACTGGGTTACTCCAGCCACTCCGGGTGGCTTCCAACAGATATGAAAACATAATAAAACATCAAAAACGTCCCTATACAAGGCTGCCTTCAGGTGTCTTCTAAAATTTGTATAATTATTTATCTCATTGACAGCTGATGGGAGGGCATTCCACAGAACAAGCTCTGCTTCCAAGAAAGCCCTCTGTCTGATCCTTGTAACTTCATTTCTCGCAGTGAGGCAGCCACCAGAAGGCCCTGGGAACTGGACCTCAGTGCACAGACTGAAAGATGGAGGTCGAGATTCTCCTTCAGATACATAGTCATATCCATCCCTTGGTTCCTGCTCCTTGACTAGATAGTAAATTCAGCATAAATATCTTACTTTTTGTAGGTTACCTGTAGACAACCAGAAATCCTGATGGCTGTATATAAGTAACATGTCTGCACTATATAAAGTACAAAATGTTGCAGTATATCCTCATCCTCTAACATTAAGGGCTACTGTTCAGGGTTCCAGCTTACCATGCCTTCCTCCAGGATGCTAAAACTGTCAGGTGTTGAAGTAGGCCAATATATTCCCCCACATATAGTATTCAACATTTTGTGGTTTCTGGAATTTTAGTTTGTTGGGTTGGGGGTAGGCAGGCATTGTTTTGTAATTCTATATACCTGAAGGTTCACCAAGGTATGCAGATACCTATCCCCGTTGTTTCTCAGTGGCTTTGTTTTACTCCAGTCCAATAAGCATCCAACCACTTGAGTTCATCATTAAAGGGAATTATATTAATAACAACTCTAGGCCATGGCAAATGTGTCAAGAGTCCCCTGCTCAAGCATTTTGGATGTATTTTAAGAAACCAGGAGAGGTAATTCAGTTATCTTCTGTTGAAACTTTAGGTAAGCAGAGTTTGGAATATAGTGATTAAAACAACTTGAACTTACAGGTCATTTCACAAACTAGAAGTACTAGTTTATTTTGATGGAACAATGAATACTACAAAAAGCATTTGGCAGTACGATTGATTGATTTATGTATGTGACATAGGCATGCATCAATAAATGCATTCTTATTTCTGGTCCAGTACCAGCTTAATAGCTTTTTTCTGATTTATCTGTTGACACATCTTAGGCTTCCTATGTGTGCTAATTACATCCAAATCCTCCTCCTTTTTTGAATGAAGCCACCCCCCCCCAAAAAAACCCCAGTTAAAGCTATAGTTTCCGACTATGTACAAACTCCCATATCCTCTGCATTCAGTGGTCTCCCACCACTGGTTTGGAACTATCAATCCTGTATGTAGTATCTTAAGAAATACTGCATTTTGATGCATTTCCCCCCCAAACCCACTTTGATCCACATTGGTAGAAAGAATGTGATTGTTTCTTAGTAAGACAAGCAATCATTTGCAGCAGGCAGCATTGATTTCTCATATTTATTTTTATGATACTACCTGTGCAAGAATCATCCACAGTTAACATTTTGACTTCGTATAGTGGTTTTAGGAATTCCATATGTAGTTGACTGGAAACATTTCTTTCTCTACTTCGAAGATAAAGATTATGTGTGGCTCAGATTTGGGAAACTGTAGGAGTTACTGAACTGTTTTCATGAGGAATTGGCTCTCCACTTTTGTATATATAGAATATCTAGTCATCTGTGGAAATGAAATAACAGTTACAGTGAATGGCCACTAATATACTATAGAACAGTACAGCCCAGAACATTCTTCATACTGACTGCACTTATCAAGGGGGGAAATGCTTCTTCCTTAAATCCTGTTCTTTGATATTCCATTAAAGTTTGATGGGGGGAGAGTGTTATATAAATGAGGCTAGT